AGCGCATGAAAGAAAAATTCACTAGCCAAGTAAAGGCTTTGATTTGCTAACCTACATTTTACAGAATAAAAACATTTTAGAGAAGGAAAATTCTAGCTATGTCATCTGAGAAAAATGTATAAAACAAACGCAGAGGCAGGAAAGTGAGACCTTTCACATCCAAGGGAAACAACAAATGAGCTTAGTTCATCATGACCTGTCTACTCAATTCATTCTCCTGCCAATTAATCTTACAGCAATTTTCAGGGACCCGCGCACCTCTCATGCTTCTGCAGTAGAAATATTAAATTCTGTTTATGAACTGTCTAAGAGTCTTAGTGGTAAACAGAACTGTTTGCACATCTTTCATCCATTTACGTTGGATGGGAGAATTATGCAAAGGGAAATATGGCCCATTTCTAAAAAAGGCCTCTAGCACTTCTTACCATATTGAATTCACATTTTTCTTGATTCACTTTCAGGCAAATACTGTAATACCTTGTTTCTACTCTCCCAAGCCTTCATTTGTCTTCAGTCATTACTGCTTATCATGCCAAATAGTGCAGAAAGAGTGAGAACTGTGGAGAATTATGCTGCTGGCACATTTATTTTATTTCCTGGGTAACATTTTCAGTAGCTTTGTCACAGGGTTAATGAATTTGTTTTTATTAACAAATAGGGCCTTCTTGACCTAATCATTTTCCACATATATTCCTGTATAAATTTTTTAACCTGAAGGTGCTGGGTCAATAATTCAGTTGGATTTATAGAGGATAAGGCCACTGCAGAGTTAGTTAATGAAAATTTTACCCTCCGTTATTTACTTGCCTTGGGAGGGAAGTTTTAAAGCTTATTTAGCTCAAATCCAAATAACTGATTTAAGAAATGACTAAGGTTTAGTGGGTTACAATAGGAGAAATGTGGATAAGGTTGCTACTAAAAAGACTTCGGGTTAATGTCAGATGTGCTGGGTTTATGTCCCCTAAAATTGAATGAATTCTAGAGGACAAAAGAAGTTAAGAGTAGGAAAAGCTTATTGGGGAATAGGGATAGTTTCTGAAAGACAGGAGGGGTCCCTCCTGATAAGTGGGTTGCCACCAACGCCCTTTGTTAAGGGTAATTTATACAGCAAAGTCATAGATGTGGGTATAATGTGGGTCAAACTGTAATCAACCAATGAGATTACAAGGATAACTGCTTAGCTAATATTGATCCAGTAGAGAAGTAGGGCAGATGGCAAGGGCATATGGCTGACATCAACTGAAACAGTGTAACACTGAGTTCCACAAACACATCACTTGTTTTTTTACTGTACATTTTTACTTTAGCATAATAGTAGCTGGATGTGCATCTCCGTACCTTTGCCAGAGGGATAAAGGAAACAATCTTCATGTCTGCCCACTTGAGGTGAAAAAAGACAAGGTGTGTACATATGTGCAAAAATATTAAACCAGGATTTTCACCAACACTGTCCTCTGCCTAATAGGTTTGGCACATATTTGCCTGAGCATCACAGAGGGTGTAATATACCCACACCACTCTAGGATTTGTTTTAAAAAGTTTTCTTTTGATTTTTCTGGTAGAAGTAGTTCAATTCAGTATAATGGCACATGAAAACCCAGATTTGCAAGTTCTGGAGGAGGTCAAAAGTGAATCATCAGGGGCTGGGGATTTAGCTCAGCGGCAAAGTGCCTGCCTGGCAAGCGCAAGGTCGTGAGTTCGGTTCCCAGTACCGGAAAAAAAAAAACAAAAAAAAAATAAAAATTAAAAATAAAAAAATATAAAAGTGAATCATCAGATTACTTATGCATGGATGATGAAGATGATCCATTATGATAAAATACATGTTTTCATAACAAAAGAGTGGTGTGGATTGATGATGATGATGATTTTGATATTGGCCATGTGAGCCAAAGTTTCTGTGACAGTGAAATGGAGCAAGAATCAACTGATACAGGCAACATGGAATATAGACCTCCTTGATTCAGATGATGAAGAGATCAGCACTGTGAGTACATATTTGACTAGTCAAAAGGTTGGGAAATGGTCACACAACCAAATGGAACAATCCAATGTTAGAATTAGGTCTGAAAATATAGAGAAGGGTCTTGGCAAGGGTGAAACATACTGGACTTCTAGAATGCCAACACTGCCACTCAGTGTTGGAAATTGTAACAGAAAATGCTACAAGATTCTGTGAAATACACAAAGGCTGAAATAGAAGTAAAACATTCTGTATGCACCAATAGCCATACTGAAAAATGTATTTATTATGACACCTCACTAGGTGGACCGAAAGCATTCATAGGTCTTCTGTATTTAGCAGGGATTTCTCACAGTGACTGCAGGAATGTAAAAGACTTATGGAAAAGCGATGGATCAAAATATAGCATAAAAATTTAAGCCCTTTTAGATGCGAAGACTTATTACGCTTTCAATTTAGACATTTATCCTGGAACTCAGCCATCAGGTCCTTATTTGTATAGCAATAAACTGAATGATGTGAACAGACTTGTTGCTGTCATCTTCCAAACTAATCAGAATGTGACATTCAACAGTTGGCTTACCAGTTTCCAAATGATGTTGTTTGGTAACAGAGAACAAGTTGACCAGCTCAGAAACTACGCAGGAACAAATCAGAAACTCTAAATGAAATGCTGCAGTTTCAAAACAGAGAATTGTACAGTACAGTCTTTGGATTTCAGAAAGATTTGCACTGGCCTCATATATGGCAAAGAAAAACAAAGTGGTACTGCTGATGTCAATTTTGCACCATGATGAAAATATTGATAGGGAAACTTCAACAAAATGGAAGCCTGAGATGGAAACTTTCTACAACAAAACCAAAAGCAGAGTAGATATTGTTGATGAATTATGCAGCAACTGCGATGTCACTCAAAACACAAAGTATTGGCCAATGGTTGTATTTTACTTGATCCTAAACATGTGTGACGTAAGTAGTTTGATAGTTTACAAAAAAAAGAACAAGTGGAAAATACCATGGAGAAATTTTGTTGGAGGACTGGGACTGGACCTCATAAGAAATCATTTACAGCAGAGGAAAAGCAAAATGTTTCTGCCCAGGGAACTACACAAAAAATTATGGAGCACACTGATGAGCTGACAAGTGAACAGGCAGGTGCGGTATCCCAAAGACCTACTGTGACAACAGGAAAACCAAAAAGATGTCAACTGTGCCCTACAAGAAAGGGCAGGAAAACAAAATATACGTGCTGTCAGTGTAAGTGATACTTATATACGGAACATGCAATTTTCATGTGTGAAGACTGCCTTGAGTGTGACAGTTGAAGCAAAGATTATATTTGTTGTAGAGTTCTATTAGTATTTTCATTGTAGTTCACATAGCTTTTTTATTTCTGATGTTAGCAGGTTTTGTAAGCAAGTACTCAGCTGAAGTGAAAATGCTGATGTCTAGTTTAAGCACTCATTACATATTTGATATTTTATTTTATTGGTATCTTATTTCCCTGCTAAGTGCACATTCTGCAACATAGTAGGAAGCTCCTGACAAAACAAGTTGAAAAAAAAGCTGACAAGAATGGCCTGCCACATAAGAAAGGAAAACCTGTCAGTGAAGGCGAGACATGTGCATGGAACATGCAACTGCCATGTGTGAAGACTGCCTTGAGTGTGACAGCTGAAGCACAGATTATTTCTGTGGTCGTCTTTTGTTTGTGTTTACATTGTAGTGCACAGAGGTTTTTATTTCTGATGTTATCTCTTAGTTTTTATAAGCAAGTACACAGCTGATGTGAAAATGTTGACGTTTATTCTAAATATACAATACATATTAAGAATTTAACACTTTATTTTATTGATATTTTATGTTCCTGTTAACTACACATTGCATAATATAATAAGAATTTCCTGGCAAAAGAGCAAGACTGGCGAGATGTCAAGTATGTCCTACAAAAAGGTCAGGAAAGCAAAACACATGTGCTGTCGGTGTATGCGATGCATGTATGGAACATGTTGTCATCATGCGTGAAGACGCCTTATGTGTGATAATTGAAGTAAAGTTTTTTTTTGGTAGGGTGCTATTGCAATTTTTATTGTAGTTCGTATAGAAATTTATTTCTGTTGTTCTTTTTTAGATTTTGTACACCAAGAAACAGTCAATGTTGAAATTTTAGTGTTTTTTTAATAAACAATAAATATTAAAAACATATTTTACTTTTGTGATACTTTTTCCTGTTAAGCACTCATTGTTTAATGTAATAAAACTCAAAATTAAAATGAATAATTCAGTAGAAATATTCTAAAGATTAAATATGGGTTCGATACACCCATGTTTATGGGACTTTCTGACAAAAAATGTGTTACACTCTGCTGGTTAACCTTGGACTTTCTTCCAGAACAGGTACATTTTGGAGAAGGGATGGGTCTTGGTGTTCTGGTCACCCACCAGGGAGTCTGATGCCTAGCTGGACTTAACGGACTGGGTGATATCAATTACAGTATAATCTCAAATTTCCATTTATCTCTTAGGGAAATACCATATGCAAATCTGGCCATTGTGACCTTATCTTGAGGCCTTACCTTCTTCAGATGCGCCTCCACAGGTTTGATGTGTTCTGTTCTTCTGCGCATACTTTCTTGAGGGCCTGTCCCTGTCTGACTGCCTATTAATTTCTGTCTAACTTAGCTGCCTATCATATGGTTAACCATTTTAGTAACCAAAAAGCTCTTAAATCCAAACATGCAGAAAATGGCGAAGGGGACAGAGACAAACAGAAAAGTAGAAAAGTGGTAAATAGAGACAGTCAAGTGCAGAGGTAAGAGAAAACCGAGAAAGTAGGCTAATTTCATCAGCATTGCCAAGTTGCAATGGTAAAAGGGAAATAGACATGAAGTAGGCATAGAAGACAGTAGATTACAAGGAAGAAAAAAGACAATAGATGTAGACAGAGAAATACCAAAACTGTCTAGCTGGAGTGAGGCATAGTGGTACGCACCTGTAATCCCAGCACTCTGGGAGGCTGAGGCAGAAAGACTGCAAGTTTGAGCCCACCGTGGGTAATTCAGCAATTTAGCAAGACCCTGTTTCAAAATAAAAAAGGGCTGGAGATGTAGCTCAGTGCGAAGGGTTCAATCCTCAGTACCTCAAACAAACAAACAAACAAAAATCTAGTTAGCGGGGTGATTAAGCTTGTGGGCTGATAAATAAGACTCCCTAAATGGTGCAGATTCAAATACTTCCCCACTACCCCCTAGCCTCTGGCAATCAGCCTTCTACTCTGCTGCAGGGAATTTGACCCTTTTCCAGTCCTCCTGCTATGATGTAGTACTTGTCCTTCTGTATCTAGCTTTATTTTACCGGGCATAATTTATCTAGGTTCATCTATTTTGTCCCAAATGGTAGGATTTCCTTCTTTTTAAAGCCTGACTAATACTCCAGTCTAAGTGTACAGCACGTATTCTTTACATTTATCCACAGATGTACATTTAAAGAGCTGCTGTAGATCATGATGCCTAAACTTAAAACACTGTGCTTTAAAAATCTGCTAAGAGGGTGGATTTTATGTTAAGTGTTAACAGTAAATAATAACTAGAGCATGAGGAAACTTTCGGTGGTAATAGATGGGTTTATGGCATAGATTGTGATGGTTTCACAGGTATATTTATCTCTCAAATCATCAAGTTGTATGCATGAAATGTGTGCAATGTATATATATATATAGTATGAGATATATATATATATATATATATATATATATATATATATATATATATATATATCATACTTTACTAAAATGGTTTTTAAAAACTCAAGGCTGGATGTGATGCCGCATTCCTGTAATCCCAGCATTCAAGAGGCTGAAACAGGAGGATTGCCATGAGTGGAGGCCAACCTGGACCACATAGTAAATTCAAGGCCAGCCTGAACTACATAGAAAGACCCTGTCTCAAAAAAACAACAAAAAAAAAAATTCAAACTCAAGCTCTGTGACCTTGAACAAGTTACTTAATGTCTCTGTGCTTTAGTTTGCTCATTTATAAAATGGAAACAATAGTACTTATCTCATAGAGTTGTTGTGAAAATTGAGTTAACAATATTGAAAACTCTTAATGCAATCCCTGGCACAGGATAATCAATAAATGTTGGCTATTATTTTTATTATGTGCCAACAACAGAGGAAAGCCAAACTATACTGCCAGCAGGTTCCGAAATCGCTTTAGTGAAAGTAAGAAAGTGTAAGAGGCATGCTAACACTGTAATAGAAAATGGGTATCTGAGCAAGTCTTACAAAGGTCCAAATGAGACAGTTAGTTGGGCATCTATAGTGCTACTTTGTCTGTCTTTCTTTCTTTCTTTCTTTCTTTCTTTCTTTCTTTCTTTCTTTCTTTGTCTTTTTGCGACAGGGTCTCGCTATGCAGTTCAGGCTGGCCTTGAGCTCACTTTGTAGCCCAGGCTGGTCTTGAACTCACAACAGTCCTCCTGCCTCAGTCTCCCAAGTGCTGAGATTACAAGCATGCACCACCACGCTGGGCTGTAATGCTATTTTTACCACTTTTCCATTTATTGGATTATTATAAATGCAAAAGTTTGATAACAGTGAGTACATTGCTACAAACCCACGAAAGGCAATTTGGCAATGGTACCTAAATTACAAATGAAATCCTTTGATCCAGGGGTTGCATTCAGTAATATATCTTTCATGTATATTTGTGCACACTCAAAAAAACATATGAAAGCCAGACATGGTGGTACATTCCTATAATTCCAGGATTCTGGGAGGCTGAGGCAGGAGGATGGAAAGTTTTAAGCCCAACCTGGGCAATTTAGCAAGACCCTGTCATGATTTTTTTTTAATTTAAGGACTAGGGTTGATGCTCAGTGTGAAGGTCCTGTGTTCATTCCTAAATACAAGAAAATTGTTAAAAGTTATATGCAAGAATCTATCACTTGTAAAAGCAAAATTTAAGAAACAACCTAAATATCCATGAGTAGATACCAGGACTGAAAAATCTATTTTTAAAAGGTTGTTTTAATTGTAAAAATCATTGCCAGTGACAATTAAGCTGTTACACAGTGTGGGGATACAGTGCTGTCTGGGCAAGGTAGTTATCTAATGGTTTACAAAATGTCTTCATTTGCTAACCCAAGAGTCCCTGACCTTTAATGGACATCAAAACAGCAAATGCAATTGACTGAGCCCTGTGCTTTTTCTTAAAGGTTGATTTTGTGATTCATAATTCACCAGGGCATTTAAGAAGCTAAATGTATCCAGAAGGGGAAGCAATTGTCAGACCACAAAAGCTTACATATTCAGTCCCCAAAGTTTGCAGATATGTTTGTTGGAGCTGATTTCTCCCCTGAATGCAGTTGTGTTGATGATGTGAAAGAAAAATGCCCCAGACTATTAAGGAAATTATTTTATTCAGCTACTGCATTATGGAAACTGTTTACTAATGCAGACTGTCTCAAAGAAAAGAAAGAGAACTTGGGATATTATAAAGGCAGGTAAACAAAGAGTCATCTATACTGGGCATGGTGACACATGCCTATAATCTCAGTACTCAGGAGACTGAGACAGGAGGATTGCTGCAAGTTTGAGGCCAGCCTGAACTACATAGCAAGACCTTGTCTGAGGGAAGAAAAAAATAATAGAATCATCTCTACAAATTTGTTTGTTTGTTTGTTTGTTGAGAAAGGGTCTCACTATGTACCCTTAGGCTGGCCAAGATATCCTTAAGATTTGTACAGATGGCTGGGTGTGATGGCATACACCTGTAATCCCAGCACTCGGGAGGCTGAGGCAGGAGGATCGCCCTGAGAGGCCAGCCTGAACTACATAGCAAGATCCTGTCTGGGCAAGAAAAAAAACCAGAATCATCTATACAAGTCTGTCTGTCTGTCTGTCTATTGGTTGGTTGGTTGGTTGGTTGGTTTTTTGAATCAAGGTCACTATATACCCTAGGCTGCCTTCTCAGAGCGATCCTCCTGCCTCAGCCTCCCAAGTGCTGGGATTACAGGTGTATGCATCACACCCAGCCATCTGTACAAATCTTAAGGATGTCATGAGGAAGGATACACATGGATTTTATCTTGGAACAATGTGCCAGGGTAAGGGGGAGCCTTGTAATTAGCCTTTTCCTGGAAAACAAGATGATGCGAGGGGGTTCTTAGCCATCATTGCTTTCTCGGAGGTATAGGGCTCAGATGTATGTCAATGCTATCATTTCTCCCCTTTTCATTGCTGAGCAATTCAGAGGCAAACATAAACCTCCTAGTGGGGTGAAGCAGAGGTGTAAGAAATAGGCTCTTGAGGACACTTATTGGTGCTATTCCTGGAAAACAAGTTGAAACATCTGTTGAGAGATGGTGGAAAGGTCACGTTTATTTTATATAGAATCCCGAGGATAAGGCATCTTACGAGAGGAATGGCTAAAATGAACAAAGGAAGTATTAATATAAAAGGTTATATTATAATAAAGAGCCAAGCCAAGAAATGAATCTGGAAGGTCACTGGTTCAGTGGATTCTAAAGCACCAATGAAGAAAATCTTTCCATCTTACAGCAGCACTCGTGGAGCTACGACGTGGGTGCTCTCAGGATGACGTTTGTCCAAAGGCTTCGTGATGCCATATACAAGGACATGCATGACCTGAGCATTTCTCCAGACTTCCTCAGTGGTCTAGGCCACAGCCACTTCAGGGAGCACCCCTGTCCTGCATGGGCTGTGGCAGGGCTGTCTTCATCTAGGCTGACATCATTGGGCTCAAGCGTTCCTGAGGTCCTGAAAAAGAGGGAAAGCTGCAAGACAATTAGAATCCCATAGGGATCTGGACAGTCAGATTTTACTTCTCCATGACTTCAAATCAAGTGGGGGGAAGAAAAATTAGAAATGTTAGCCTAGAGGGTACGAGCCGGACATTGAGGAAAACTGGAAGGGTTGAAAATTCGGTGAAGAATGACAACTTGGGAAAAATAGCAGTACTTCAGTATGATGTATAGGTAGATACCAAAACTGGTTTTTCCACAAAAAAGAAAGTTATAGTTCTACGAGACAAGACAAAATTTGCAGTAATTAACAAAATTAACAGTAACCTGTGGTTTATAAAGAGGTGCAAAACAGCTCAAAGACAATGAACAAAGCTTGGAGTGGTGGCCCATGTCTGTAGTCCCAGCACTGTGGGAGGCTGAGGTAGGAGGATCCCAAGTTGGAGCCTAATCTGGGCATTTTTGTGACTTAGTAAAACCCCATTTCAAAATAAAAAATAAAAAAGGACCGGGAATGTAGCTCAATGAAAAGGCCCTCGGTTCACTCTCTAGTATCTCCAGCAGAACCGAAGCGGGTGAGACTAGACTCTGATGACCTGCAATGGTGTGCCGTATAAGAGGCAGAGTTTTCTGTTGAAACACAAAATTTCTCTCTATACTAAATCCAAAGATAATATCAAAGAAAAAAATGTTTTTAGTGCTGGGGCTCAAACCCAGGAGGGCTCTGAGCATCCTAGGCAAGCCCTCTACCACAGAGCTACATCTCCAGCCCAGAAAGATTTATTTTTGAACACAAATAAGGCTGGTCTTATAAACAGTAAAAGAAAAAATAAATAAATTCAAATTTGTCAAAATTTACAAGTTTTATATATGCAGACATTATCAAGGGGCTGGAAGTATGGCTCTGTAGAGCATTTGCCTAGCATTCTCAAGGCCCTAGGTTGAATCCCCAGTACCACATGAGTGCATGCACACACATGAAGATATTACCAATAGTGAAAAGACAATCCAATAAATATATTTGCACATCATATACCTGATAAGGGTCTGGTTTACAGAATATTTAAAGAACTCTTACTACTCAAAGCAAAAACACAAATACCTCAATTAAAAACAGCCAGGTATGGTGGCACATGCCTGTAATCCCAGCACTCAGGTGGCTGAGGCAGGAGGATTGCCACAAGTTTGAGGCCAACCTAGACTACATAGCAAGAACCTGTCTCAAAAAAAAAAAAAAATAGGCAAAGGACTTAAATAGACATTTCTCCAAAGAAATATTCAGATGGCCAACAATCACATGAAATGATGCTTGACATCATTAGTCATTAGAGAAATACAAATCAAATTCACAATGAGATAACGCAGTTAGGATGGCTAGAATTTAACAACCACACCACCAAAAAAACCCCTGGAAAATAGTAAATGTTACTGAAGACATGGAAAAATTGGAACCTATGCATTGATAGAAGAAATGAAAAACTGTGCAGCTGTTATGCAAAACAATTTGGTTGTTCCTCAAAAGTTAAACATAGAATTGCTATATAACACAGCAATTTCATATATATATATTTGTAAACAAGCAGTCAAACAAATACTTGCACACAAATGTTCACAGCAGCACTATTCACAATAGCAATCAAAAGGTGAAAACAACACAGATGTTACTAAAATATGGTGTGCATGTGTGTACACATATAAAATGGAGTATTATTCAGTTACAAAAGGGAATACAGTACTGACAGTACTATAAAATGGGTGAACCTCACCTCAAAAACAGGTGAAAGAAACCAGATATATCAAGACACATACTGTATGCTTTCATTTTTATGAAATACCCAAAATTGGTAAATTCACAGAGACAGAATGTAGATTGGTGGTTGTCAGGAGGTGGGAAAAGAGGGGAGTGAGGAGTGACTGTTTAATGAGCACAGGGTTTTATTTCAAGGTGACAAAAATGTTTGGAAGTGCTGGGGATTGAGCCCAGGGTCTCATGCTGCACAAGTGCTCTACCACTCAGCTACCTTTCCAACCCTTGAACCATACATTTTATTTTATTTTATTAATCTTTTTTTTTGTACCGGGAATCGAACTCAGGACCTTATGATTGACAGGCAGGCACTGTGAACCATACATTTTAAAATGGTTAATTTTATATTACATGAACTTTAACTCAACAAAAATATTACAAAATACAAATTAAGTCTCACTACATGTAGCCTGATAACTTACATAGACATGGCAAAAATGACAATATGCCTTATAGACCTTCTTAAGCCTGCTTTGTAGAAAGTTTCAAAGGGAATCTCAGTGTGGAATTTTTAAAGGCTATTATGGCTAGGAAATCAATCAAAGAAGGTTTTACCTATAGTACCTATAATTTTGGGACAATTGTCTTCTTAAAATCTCCAGAATTATCCTGTTTCTGGGGCCTGCCAGGAAGTAACCTTCCTTACTCGCTCGTAAGGCTGGTAGCAGGCTAGTTTCCCCCAGCAGGCTTTGTATGTATTGGTGCTATAAAGTCAGCCTTAGTTCCTTCAAAAGGTCTGACCAAATCTGATTCAATGAGTTTCATTCATAAATATGACATTCCAGGGAAGTCCTTGGTTACATACCAATATTTTCAAGTATGTCCTGGTAACACAGAAGACAAGCTTTACTGAATCAGTGTAGATAATTAATTATACTGCTGTGAAAATAAGAATACTTGGCTGGGGATATACTTCTGTGATAGAGCATGTGCTCTCAATGTAGAGGCTCTGTGTCCAAAACTCAACAAGAACAGAAGACGGCACTCCATGAGGGTTACTGAATACTGGAAACTCAGCTGGAGGAATAAGGCATTCCCATTTACAAATGTTTCATTTCTTTCTATAAACCCATAGACTACTAAATAGTTATGTGTTATAGATAGCCTAAGAAAGAAAAGAAATTAGTGCTTCATATATCTAGAAAATAGAATATTAAAGCATCAGCAATATTCTAAACAAAATTCATAATCATTCCCTCATCAGTTGTTTCAAGTCTGTGTAATTAGTTCTGGTGCCACTCAACCTTGGCTCAGGAGTTTATTAAGCCACCTGCTTCTCAATTAGTTTTTTCAATTCTGACTCAGTTGACTAGTGTGGCCTCAAAGTTGTTTCTCCCATTAGAAGCCTGTACACAAAAGTACCTAGCATAGAACCTTTTCTACCAGGCTTTCAGACACCTTTGTTGAAGTTGAAGCCCTCTAACTTGTAGCTGATTGCAGATGCTTTCAGAGAAGCATCTGAGTAAATTATAAAAAGCAATCTGCAGATGATAAAAAGACTTACAATAGCTGTGGTTACCTTATTACTGATCATTTTCAAAAGGGAAAAACCCGATGAGAGTTTATTACACGAATAATAATGCAGCTGACAAGGAAATGTAGTTGTTCAGTGGCATACAAAACAAGTAAAAAGGCAATCCAAAAACATTTTAGTTCAAATATCTGTAAACACAATGATTAACCCTATTTTCAAAGAGGGTATTATATCTAATTTACGAAAATGTACAAACAATCTTTACAGAGAAAAAAGACTCAGAGGCAACATGTAATAATCCTGACATAATATACCATGAATATACCAACCATAGAGTTAGTCTATACCCACAATATCTGGAATATTAAGTAAAGGTCTGAAACATTTGTGCATCAATAAAAATTCTTAGGTGAGTGATGTAAATCCTTACTAATGACTAGGAAGATGCTAGATTCAAAGTAAAGAAGCAGATCTAAAGAAAACAGTCCTAAAATTCAGATAGAGCCAGAAGAGACCCAGAATAGCAAAAGCAATCCTTGGTGAAAAGAGCAAAGTGGGACGCACCAGCACCCAGACTGGAAGTTATATTATGAAGCTACTGTAATTAAAAACAGCGTGGCATTGGCACAAAAACAAACATGAGGATCAATAGAATACAACAGAGGATGCATAAATAACCTCATGCACACTCAACCATTTGGTCTTTGACAAAGGGACCAAAAACATATGCTGGAGGAAAGACAGCCTTTTTGATAAATTGCATAGGAAAAACTTGCATCCACAAACAAGATGGAATCTAGACCCATATCTTTCACCATGTACTAAACTAAAATCAAAATGAATGAAAGAACTAAATTTTAAAATGGAAACAACCTGCTAGAAGGCAAAATAGGCAAAACTCTTCAAGTCATAGCATAGACAAGGACTTTCTGAACAAAACACCGGTTACGTATGAAATAATACCAAAAAATCAACAAATGGGATCATTATCAAATGTAAAAAAAGCTTCTGTACAACAAAACAACCAATAGAGTGAAAAGACAACCTGTGGAATGGAAAAATTTTTGATAACTATTCTGACAGAAGACTAATATGTAGGCTATGTAAGAACTCAAATATTAGACCCCCTCAAAATTAAAGACCCAATCAGAAAAGGGACAATTGAAATAGACACATCACAGAAGGAGTACAAATGGGCAATAAATATATGAAGTAATGCTCAACATTACTGGCCACTAGAGAAATGCAAATTAAAATGACATTGAGATTCTACCTTACCCCAGAAGGGATGGCCCTCATCAAGAAATAAAATAATAACATGTTGGTGAGGCCTCAGGAAAAAGGAAACCTTCTACACTGTTGGTGGGAATGTGAACTTGAACTAGTGCAAGCACTATGGAAGTCAGTATGGAGATGCCTCAAAAAATTGAAATTAGAAATTTCTTTTGACAAAGCTATTCCCCTTGTAGGTATCTTCCCGAAAGATTTCAGACATCATATTACAGTGATACATGCATACTCATGTTTATAGCAGCACAATTCATAATAGCTAAATACTGATATTGGCTTATATGTTCATCAGCAGATGAATAAAGAAAATGTGGTATTTATGCATAATGGAGTGCTGCTCTGCCGTAAAGAAAGATAAGCTCGAATCATCTCTAGGAAAATAGAGGCACCTTGAGACCATAATGTTAAATGAAGTAAATCAGACACACAAGCTAAAATATTGCATGGTTTCTCTTATTTGAGAAGCCAAAATGAAAATAAAGAGTAAAATAAAAGATGGATGATAGGAAGTAGTGAGATAGATCTTTCTCAAAGGAGAAGAAATAGGGGAGGGGAGAAGAAGGGAAAGGAGATTTTAAAAAGGAATTAAGATGCATTACACATGTTTATCAACTCCACACAAGGAATGTGAACCTTATTGTGATAGTTAACTGATTGTGTCAGCTTGAGTAAGAATCGTGCAGCTAAACTGACTCAGCATAGTTCAAGGTGTGAGAGACCCACGCTCAGGCCGCTTGTCACCAGAGTGGTATACTAGGGAAGGGGAGAAGGAAGGCTTGCTTCTGTTTCTTTGGAGGCGCTTCCATCTTCACCTTCACCTTGGACACTGTCTTCAACCTTCCATCACAGATCCTTCACCCTCCTGACACAGACACAGGACTCTACAGCGAGCTCCAGGCCTTCAACTGGATCCTCTCCATCTCCAGCATGCAGACAACCCTTTTGCACTTTTCCACACCTGACTCTGTGGGTGGCCATCATAAGCCAATCTTGTAAATTCTTATACATTTATATACCTTGCATTCAATGTTTCTCTAGTAAGCACTAGACTGATATAATTATGTATTGGAAATACGTTTCAGAGAAAAAGGAAGAGGGTCAAGAGATGGATGGGAGGAAGGGAGGGAAGACAAAGGGGATGACAAAAAGGATTAAGATGTATTATGTACATGTACCAATTCCCCACAAGAAATGTAAACATCGTGTACTAGGAACATGTACTAATAATGTTTTTTAAAAACTAAAGATTGGGTTGGGGATATAGCTCAGCAGCACGGCGCCTGCCTGGCAAGCAGGAGGTCCTGAGTTCGAGTCCCGGTTCCAAAAACAAACCAAAAAAAAACTAAAGATTTACAGTTACTATAAAGTAAATATTTTTTAAGAAATTGGAGCTGGGTTGGTGGCACACACCTGTGATCCTAGCACTCAGGAGGCTGAGGCAAGAGGATTGCTGTGAGTTTGAGGCGAGCCTGGCCTACATAGTGAGACCCTGCCTCAAAAAACAAAAGAAATTTAAATTATGATGGAAAACACTATATAGTTACCCCCATCTGTGGTTTCACTTTCCCAATTTCAGTCACCCACAATAAACCATGGTCAGTAGATTACAATAAAATATTTTGAGAGAAGGAGAAAAAAATGAGACCATATTCACACACTTCTATTACAATTTTTATAGTCTATTTTATTATTAATTATTGTTGTTAATCTCTTGCTGTGCCTAACTTATAGATTAGACTTTACCATAGGTATATATGTATAGGAAAAGCATAGTCTATATGGGCTTTGGTACTACCTGCAGTTTTAGGCCTCCACTTAGGGTCTTGGAATGTATCCCCCAAATACAAGGAAGGGCTACTGCACTGTAGTTGTCTAATATTTGATAAAGCAGCACCCTTATTCTGACAAATAGAAACACACCACAGCCAGCAAGGACATGCATGAATCTGTAGGAACTTCTCAAAACAGCATACAATTTCTGAAATACAGTACTTCCGTAACATTTCACCAGTTTAAACTAGGGAAAGCAAAAAAGGTCTTCCGATTTTACAGTTATACCTATGTAATTCCTCAATCGTAACGTATCAAATCTAATGATTATTAGAATGGCTCTTTTTACAGAGTGGAATTTTTCCATAAGCTCTCTGGGACTTAAAATAGGATGATACGTTTTTGAAAATCGATACTTGGCCTTTAAACATAAACGTAGCAAGTAAAATGATTGTAAAGAACCTTAGCTCTTTACTGAAAGACTTGGCTTTCTTAAGGAATCAAGCACCTAATAAAATCAAACCATAGAAAAGAGCTAGGGCTGTAGTTCAATGGTAGAGCTCTTGCCTGAGGCCCTGAGTTCAATCCTCACTGAGGGGTTGAGGGGGTTGTAATCCCAGCACTCTGGGATGCTGAGGCAGGAGGATGTCAAATTCAAGCCCAGGTTGGGAAACTTAGCAACTTGGTGAGAATCAGTTTTAGAATTTAAAAATATGGAAAGGGATGGAACTGTAACTCAGGGCATCAGTGCAAAGCTCCCTGGGTTCAATCTTCAGTACTCCCCAAAATGTAATAATAATTACTGTTCGGATAAAGGTTGTCATCATAATGACTCAACGTGCTTGAGCAAATTTACATTTTTCATAATATTGAACATTTAGTAGAAGTAATGTTAGCTCATTCAACCAATAAACCTGTATACTCTCAGTAAGTATACACCTAAATAGAATAAAAATCTGCATCCATATTATACCAAACACTAGTAAGTCAGAACAATATGGATAGTTTTAGTAAACTAAAATCACTAAAATATCTTATCGCTTAAAATGTCACTAAATGATGTGAACTTGAATTTTTAATAAAACACTTGAGTTTACTTTTATGGGAATACTTTTTTAGTACTTTGAAAATTGAAGATGCAATATCCTTATTTTCAGGAATTTGGCAATGTTCTATTTGCCTAAATGTTTATTTTTATAAGCCAATGAGAAAGAGATCCTTTAAGAGATTTTAGAAATAACTTGGTATTACTATCCAGAGGTAGGAAAATATTACACATTCACACGAAGAGATATAAAGGACTTTCTGAATTATATATATCATCATCATCATTATCATCGCCATTATTCTAGCTATTGCTGTAAAAAAATGTTTATTACTGGGAAGCATCTTGAAAGGGCCTGGAGTTTTATAGAGAAGAGTAAACCAGGGAGTTATCCACTAATCTCAAAGGAGACATGAAGAAGGATGAGGATGACTCCTACCTTGGACTATGCCAGGACAGTATGGTCATTGCTTTGTGGTCAGCCTTCAGAACACAAAGGAGTGGGAGGCTTCTTAACCATCACTGCTTTCCAGAAGCATGGGACTGAGATTAAGTTCAATTTTGGCAGTGACAGTGTTTCAACAAGTATTTTCTTATCTGTTGTTACAATATTTGCAGTGAGTGTACTTTGCCAATTTTGTCTGTAGAATTTCTCTGTATATACCTTTATATGCCATATTATGTCTGATTGCCTTTTTTTGTTTGGGGGGTTGGTTTTTGTTTTTGTCGTCTGTCCCCATAACTTAACTGTAGCTTCTTTAAGAGAAGGAAGTATGTACTGCCCTAATTTGCTTTCCTCCTTCTCCTTCCTCTTTTTGCTTAACACTTAGTGTTCAATGCCATCTACCCAAAAGGCACGGATGTTCAGTAGGAGAACAGATTATACCTTTTTGATGTACTATGACAGTAGACTTTTCACAACTGGAAAATAGCACTTGCATCCAAGAACTTTTCAAGTCACATATTTCATTCTTCTTTGCAGAGAATTCATATATGGACAAGTTCTTTACTTGTTTTCTTCCCAGTTGCATATCTAAGACCGAGTCTTTGCTAGATGGCTGCAGAGTTTACCTTAATGAAGCATAGTCAGTTGTCTAGTGATACTTTTTACCAACTTCCTGCCGTCCACTGTACCAGTTTCATTGATTCAGCCAGTGAAGAGGCATTGTTTAGAATGTGAAATGTCATTATGAAGGGATTTGATAAAGAAGTTTATGAATTGTGTAGACACCAGAAAGATTTCTCATAGTTGCAAAGATGTTATGTGAAGCATCATGCCTAGAATTCTGTTTCAAGTAAAATCTTAGGGAGGACTTAGAAAAAATGAGCTGGATATTTGAATTGTTTGTGGAAGCAGAAGAAACTGAAGCATTTAGAACACAGCCTTAAAAAGGAAATTATGATACTGTGCAGGCAGAAGGGTTTGTATTGGAGATTTAACTCGAGGAACACTGAGCTACATCTCTAGCCCTTTTCAAAAAATGTTTTTTAAATTTTGACATAGAGTCTTGCTATGTTTTCCAGGGTGGCCACCAACTTCCAATCCTCCTGCTCCAGCCTCCCAGTAGCTGGAATTACAGGGGTGCACGACCACATCCAGCAACATACTCTTAATGATAATGTTTTTGTTTTGTTTTATGTTTATTTGTTTATTTGTGGTACTGGAGATTAAACACAGGACCTTTGCACTGAGCTACATCCCCAGCCCTTTTATAATTTTTATTCTGAAACAGTGTCTTGCTAAGTCTCTAAATTGCCCAGCTGAGCTCAAACTTTCAATCCTCCTTCCTCAGCCTCCCAGAATGCTAGGATTACAGGTATGTGCCACCATGCCTGGCTAAAGAATGTTCTTTTACATCTAATCAGTAAGGCTTAATGAAAGTATAATAAAAGAGCAGGCAAAGTTGGCAAGAAGATAAAGTGATGCAATGGCACCAATAGCAAAGAAATTAAAGAAGACCGGTGAGGTCAACGTAGATAGTTTTTGCGAAAGAAACAAAATAACTTTAGTACAGCTGTTTCACTCTTCACTGTAATAATTATATTTACAGAAAGGCAACCACATTACGCTGCCTAAGAGGTTATGCATTTGTATGTTCTACACTCAGCTTTTATAAGCAACAAGTGCCAAGAATTATTTTTTTAAAATTTTCTAGGTTATATCATAGAGTTATTACAGAGTATCCAATGCCATCATCTTCTACAAGATTGTCCTTAAGGCCCTTTCTAAATACTAGCTTTCTTAGAGTTCTATAAGTGGAAATCAGTGTTTATCACAAAGACCTCAGGGTACTAGCAGATTTTTTTGAAGTGATTCCTAAATCATCTAAGGAAGGGTTTGTCTTGTTCAATATAGTTCTAATATTCTAATGCTTTGAAAATCTGAAATCCCAAGTGGAAAATGTTACTAATCAATCCAAATATTTATTTTACCAAAACACTTTTATCCCTAATAATTCTGGGGCTTTTTACTATATAAACCTTGTAGGTAGGTTTTTATTTTTCTTAAAAGAAGGAGGTATTTTAAGAGACTAGATTGCCAGGGTTAGATCCTTGGCTGTTACAATTCTCTTGGGTTGCTTTGTGGCTGCTGGCTGTAGCAACTTGTTTTCTTGCAGAGATGAAGCATCTGGTTTTTGTTATCTCAATGATGCTGTCCTGGGAATATTACAATTGCGACGGAAATTTGACCGTATTCTGTATGTGGATTTGGATCTGCACCATGGAGATGGTAAGCCCTTCGGTTTCAGAGATGCTTCACTGGTAGGACTGCAGGCTTTGATCTGTAAACTACTTCTAGGCAACTGGTAAAAGGAGAAATGCCTGCTGCAGTTGAAATTTTCCTAATTGACAATTCTAAAGTAGGTGGTGTAGATTTTTCTGATACAATCTTGCTTTGCTACACAAGCCAGGCTCCTGTCATTTCCTCTGCCCTGTCCTCCTGGAGTAAAGCTTTATAGTAGAGAATGAGAAGCCGCAGAAGTCTTACCTAGTGTTTACCGTCCTGCACAGTGACCTCCCTCAGGCCGTTTCCATAGACTCTATCCGGTTATCTGTGGTTAGAGCTGACAGTCTCCACCTCTTCACTGGTGCTTCTCTCAAGACAGAGTGATTGCATAAAGAACAAACATTCTAAATTGTTCACCACGAGGTCACCAATCTTGTATCAGAATCATTGCCACTTCTTTGTATTGCTAAATTATATAGTCCTACACAAACCTAGGGCATCTTCCCTAATCTGTAATAGCAAAATCTCTGAACAATTTGCCTTAACCCATTGATCCCCTCTTAGAAGACCCCAGTGAAAGGACTTATCCAACCCTCATATGTACTTTTCACCTAGAATGTACATCTTCAGGAATAGTTGTCACATTGTTTCTGTAAGAAATTCTGTCTGTGACACATAACATTTCCATTCATCTAGCGATACTTATCTAATAAGTTATTATTAGTTAAGTATAGCCTTCCCCTTCCCCACATTAGTGATTGCTGCTTCCCCAGTGCAGAATGTTTGTTTGTTTGTTTGTTTGTTTTGTTTGTTTCAGAGACTAGCATAATCAAGGTGTAGGGGAGGAAAACAACAGCGTGAGTCAGAGATTAGAGTTAGCTCTGCCACCAAAACAGAAAAAGTAGAAAAACATTGGAGGGAGCCTCCCCAGGGAGCTTCACCTGCATAGCTGCTAGAAATACGGACTGCTGACAGAAAATTTAAAATAACAGAAATGAGAGAAATAATGCTACTTTGAGAACCATGTTCACTAAATTTCTGAGTACTTGGCCAGTGAAAACACAGCCTTGCTCAAAAACCTTCAGAGGCTCATTATTGCATGTAACAAAGGGTCAAATGCTACAGGTACTTGACTCATGGCTTATTTTTGTACAACCAGGGAGATGAGAATGGCTTTTACATTTTTAAAGGGTTATAAAATCATGTATAGGTGTAAAATGGTGCACATACATATATATGTGCATGTGCGGGAATGGGAATGCACAATAAAGATTGTAAGGACTTTGGAAAGCCTATGATCTGTATTATGTAGCTACTTAGTTTGTTGACCCTTGGCCTAGAGCAATGATTCTCAAACTTAATTGTATATCAGGATGATATGGGCAAATTTGTTTTAAAACACAGATTGCTGAGCCACATCCATGTATAGAACCAAAGAATCTACATTTTAACAGCACCCTCATACCTTGATAAACAGTGGTCTTTAAGTCCATCATCTACGCTGCCTTTTCAGGTTTACCCCAAACAGACCTCACCTCATCTTTCTGCACTTTTTCCTCCTACTACTTCCTGTCCAGACTACTCTACTCGATGAACATGTCCCACAGTTCATGACTCGTCTCATGCTTCCTACCTCCCCAACTTTGCCTCCCTTTTCCTTAGTTTTGCTTTCTCCTCCTTTGCATCTGCAGTTCTCCCCATTCACTCAAGTTCTAACAGTAGCAAATTTATCCTGACCGCCTGAAAGCAAGGGTGTTCTTCCTACCTTTAAGACCTGTATTGTTTATATCACTGATTTCCTATTTCATTATTCATTGTCTTCTACTGTATGGTCAGGTGACTTTTAATGTGCTTATATCTTCTCACAGAAATTTTAAGTTCCCCCGGAGCAGAGATCAAGTCATGTACTTCTTTCCGTCTTGTACAATGCCTTGAACCAACAGTACTCTGCATGTAATAGTGTTTCAGTAAAATATTTGTGGAATGAATGAATATGAAATTCAAAGTATTAATACCAGAGTTCAAGAGTAGAACTAACTCTATTGACCCACATAAGAATGAAATAAGACTGTCACCTGAAACCATTCTTTCCATTCGCAATGTTATTTCTACACCATTTAGAGTTTCCTGTTTTAGCCCGCTTTTATGGTGTGTTTCATTTTGGTTTATTTCCCCTCTTCAGCACCTCCCTTCCAGTGACCCCTTCCCCACCCCCAAACTCTGATACATTTGGTTTTTTTAAAAACTGTCATGATTTCATAACTAACATCTTGTAGCCATTCCTACCCTGTCCTTAAGTTTCATCTGCCTGACCACTGTCCTGTTTCACACCAGCTCCACATCCTCCAACTATCTCACAGCATCCCTGTTATACTTTTATAACCATGTGTAATGGTATTTCCCATAAGAAATATAAATGGCCAGTAAACATATGGAAAGATGCTCCATAGCCTAATACTCAGAGAAATGCAAATAAGAATAAGACAATTCTTTCTGCCTAAGATTAAAAAAGAATACTAATGGCCAGTGCTACTCAATATGGGGAAGATGAGAACTTGAAAACACAATTGAGTGAAGTGTAAATTGATACATTTCTAGAGGATAAATAATCAGGGTTTAGATGAAGTGTCCTTGTTTCAGTTTCTAGGGTGAAATGCTATTTTATTTATTGTGTTTGTTTCATTCTGTTTATTTTATATTTTTTGCCTGGAGCCTTTAACCGGTTTTAACTACCTCCTTAGGGCAAACATTAGGTTTAAGTCTTGGGAAATACAAACATACCTGTTATATATAAATAGAGTTAATATTGTTTTAAGGTCTCTGTTGGACTCTAATGAAGATGGAATACGTTAAGTAAACACAGAGACAATGTCTTTGTTTGAAATATAAAAGGGGGTAGTACCTGAACTGCTTTTTTTTTAACTTTTAAATTTGGTACATGTTTGTCATACACAATGAATATATTCATTATGGGGTATTGGTGCATATGCATTTTCCCTCTTTATTCTTTTTACTTTCTTTACCTCTACTCTCTCTCCCATTCCTCCCTGTCCCCAGAGCCCCTTCCCATCTCCACAAAGGACCTGAATTTTCCAAGAGCCCTTCCCTTTTACACTCTGATTATTTGAACCATTGTGTGACTCTGTGATTCTGAGAGGAAAGGGCTGGAAGTGGGTGATATGGCTATTGGATAACAGTAGTTTGTAAGGGTTACTTTAACTCCTAGTTTTTATCTTCTAGACACCTAATCATTTTCTGACCCTGTTTGAACAGAAAAGAGACCCTTTTCTAGAAATGTCCTCTCATCCCATCTTTCTTTAGGTTTTAAAACTCTTATAAAGCTGCTGTTAAGGGACAAAGCCATAACTATTTTCAGCCTTCCAGATTTTAGCCAGAACAATATACTGTCACAGGCCTCTGCGTGACCTACATTTATAACCAAGTCTGCGTTATAAAGAGGCACTTTATAATTAGGTTTTCATTAATAATGCCTAATGTTTGTACTGGTCATCTTTTTAAAGGATCATCACATAATGCTCCTTTAGAAACAAAACAGAACAAAACATAAAGCTTCTAAGTTGGTGTTGTTCAGTACGGTTGATAATGCCTTCATTCTGGGCTCTTGCCCGCCCTGCCTTTTACAACAGAGCCCAGAGAAAAAGAGAGAGAAAGAGAGGGAGAGGGAGAGGGGGAGGGGATGGGAAGGGGGAGGGGAGGGGAGGGCGAGGAAAGGGCCCAGACATTGCATTGCTTCAGAAAGGGAAACCAATTATAGTTTGCAATGAATTTGAAAAGTCACCCACACTTCACTTGGAACCAAACTTCTACTTCATCCATAATTATAGAGATCAGAGACCAGGGGTTTGTGTTACTTTTATTTCTCAGCTTGTTCACTTCATTATTGCTGCATTCCCACCAGTCCTCTTCCTATAGCTACTTTCTGGATCTTCAGGTATTGAAAACAAGAGTTGCACATATAAAGTGATAGTTCTGACCTTTCTTTCTCTGGTAGGTGTAGAAGATGCCTTCAGTTTCACCTCCAAAGTCATGACTGTGTCCCTGCACAAATTCTCCCCAGGATTTTTCCCAGGCAAGTAAGCTGCGGGCTCCTTATACATTTGATGAAAAGATACTGTAATTCTTCTATTTCTTATGTCTGATATTTGAATAGTTCTGTGCTGTTAATACCTTATCTGTGTCATTCTACACAAAATTTGAGCACAAGTCACTTCAGGTGACAATAACAAAAGGAATAACAATAAGACTGTTTCTTCTTTCAGGTGATTTTTTTTTTTGAGACAGGGTCTCTCTAGGTAATTCAGGCTGGCCTGGACTTACTTGTAACCCAGGTTGGCCTGGAACTCATGGCAATCCTCCTGCCTCAGCCTCCCAAGTGCTGAGATTACAGACATGTGCCACCACGCCTGGCATACTTGCAGATTATTTTATGGACTATCAAGAGACAGGTCACTTAAACTGATATCCTGTCAGATAGCACATGTAATTCCTAATATCCTGATAATTGCAATATTTTGATATTATTTCAACCTATGAGTCATGAAAGGTCAAGTTTTATTTCATCTAATAGGATATAAGCTAAGGTTTTTTAGTTTCCATGTGATTTTCCTGCTTCCCTGAACATTGCTTATAATTGTTACTTAACCATATTATTTTATAAAAAAATTTTCATTCCCTTAGAAAACTCTCTACTAAAGGTAGGTTTGGTGATATACACTTGTAATCCTATTCCTCAGGATGCTGAGGCAGGAGGATCAAAAGTTCAAGGCAAGCCTTGAATACAGAGGGACATGCCCTTGAAAGAAAAAGAAAGAAAGAAAGAGAGAGAGAGAGAGAGAGAGAGAGAGAGAGAGAGAGAGAGAGAGAGAAAGGAAGGAAGGAAGGAAGGAAGGAAGGAAGGAAGGAAGGAAGGAGGGAAGGAGGGAAGAAAGAAAGAAAAAGAAAGAAAAAGAAAAAAAGAAAGAAGGAAAGAAAGAAAAAGAAAGAGAGAGAAAGAAAGAAAAAGTAATGCTCTGCTGATTAACCATTTTGGACTTCTGAATTTCTATCAGAAAATCCTTTAAGTTTTGTAGTTCTCATGTTCTTAAAAGCTGATCATGGTGCTCCTCTCTCTTACAGGAACAGGTGATGTATCTGACATTGGCCTAGGGAAAGGACGGTACTATAGTGTAAATGTGCCCATTCAGGATGGCATACAGGATGAGAGGTACTACCACATCTGTGAAAGGTATGGCAGTTAACACTGAGCCAGTAGGAGGTGGATCAGAGTAATATGGTCCCCAATCTCACAGAATTCATTCTTGAGGAATCCCTTGAAAAAGAGAAACATTATATGTCCACATAGCTTTTAGACACTGTTCACTATGTTGTTGGGCAGAGTCCAGGGGTTGACCAGAACTGTACTCCAGGTTTGATCTTACCCACTACCTGGTACAATTACGGCTATCCCAACAAAAGCCTTTAGGTTATAATGGAGAATCCTTTGTCTACTTTTTCTTAGCTAAAGAAACCTTTATGTGTATGACTTCATTAACCTGGTAGGGAACATTTCAGTTTTCCTTTAGGGAGACCAAATCTGCCCTTTTTTGTATGAATGTAGTAAGATGACTATAATTCTTTATCATGCATTCTTGAATTCAGTCCACTTTATTAAAATTGGAATCAGGTGTGTGTGTGTGTGTGTGTGTGTGTGTGTGTGTGTGTGTGATGCTGGGGATTCAACCCATGGTCCTGTGCATACTAAGTACCACTGAGCTATACCCCAGTCTAGACATATGCTCTGTTACCCTATGGCTAAGGATTAAATTACTGATGTAGGCAGACAGTTTAGTGTGGACATCACTGAGGTTAAAGGTCCTACAGAATGGGAGGAGACTAAACACATATTAATAAAATTGAGATTAATCAGGTACAAATGCATTGCTAACAATGGCAAGAGAAAAAGTGAGCCTAACTAGAAGTCTGCCAGTCACCATTACTGAAGGTAAGCTGTGGAGGACGAGATCCTCTTGCCTTCCCCTACTTGGCTCGTGTTTCTCCCAAAGCCCGGTAGAAAACAGGGACTTCCCAAAGGACTCTGCCTGCACTGGCCATCATCACTGTCAGCTGTATACACAAAGTAGAACTATTAAACAATAAAAATGCCAGGCATAGTGGCATAAACTTGTAATCCCAGCACTCTGGAGGACTGCTGTGAGTTCGAGGCCAGCCTGAGCTACATAGTGATTTCAAGGTCAGCCTGAACTACATAGCAAGACCCTGTCTGGAAAAAAAAACTAAACAATAAAATCTTTATGCTTTAATGATTCCTCTTAGCTCAGGAGATTTGGCCAGCCAAGTCATCATGCAGTCATTCAAAGAGCACAGCATCTTCATGACTTTTTGAAAAAGTTTTGGCACATGTTACAGTACACAGTGATTACATTCCTCATAGGGAGTTGGTAAATGCATGTAACACATCTTAATTCTTTTTTTCAATTCCTTCCCCTCCTCTCCCTCCCCTGTTGCTCTATCTCTTGGCCCCCTTCACTTTTGCAAAACATCTATGTCCCTGTTTCCTATTATCTATATTTTACTTTGGTCTTTAATTTTTTTGTATTTTGAGTTACTTGTATAAAAGAAATCATGTGATATTTTAGCTTGTGTGTCTGATTTATTTCACATAACATTATGGTCTCAAGGTGCAACCATTTATCTACAAATGACTTGGGTTTGTCCTTCTTTATGGCACAGCAGTACTATATTGTGTCTAAATACCACATTTCTTTATCCATTCATCTGTTGATAGTCACATAGGCTGCTTCCAAGATGTAGCTATTGTGGGTTGTGTGGCTATAAACATAAATATACACATATCACTTAATATATATATCACTATAATGTCTTTAATTCTTAATAGCTATACTGAATGGAATTTCTATTTTTAGGTTTTGGAAGACTTCTCATACTGATTACCATAGGCATTGTAGTAGTTTACATCCCCACCAATGATGTAGAAGGGTTCTCTTTCCCTGTAGTCTCACCAAGATTAGTTATTTGATTTCTTGATGATAGCCATTCTTTTTGGAGGAAGATGGAATCTGTGTTGTTTTAATTTATATTTCTCTAATGGCCAGATGTTGAACATTTTTTCTTATATTCATTGGACATTTGTACTTCTGTGAAATGTCTGTTGATTTCAGTTGCCCATTTTCTGATTGGGTCTTTAATTTGGGGAGTTTAATTGTTTTAATTCTTTCTATATCCTAGATATTAGTCCTCTGAGAAATAGCTGGCGAAAAATTTTTCCCATTCTGTAGATTGTCTCTTTACTCTGTTGGTTGTATCCTTTGCTGTGTGGAAGCTTTCTGATTTTATGTTAACACCATATGTTAACTTTTTGGGCTGGGGATATAGCTCAGCAGCACAAGCACCTGCCTGGCAAGTGCAAGGTCCTGAGTTCAATTCCTGGTACCAAAAAAATAAAAATAACACCACTTGTTGATTCTTGATGTTGTTTCTTGTGTAATTGGGCTTCTGTTCAGAAAGTCCTTGCTTATGCTTATGACTTCAAGAGTTTTGCCTATTTTATGTTCCAGCAGATTAAAAGTTTCTGTGTTAATATTTAGATCTTTCATCCATTTTCATTTTAGTTTACAACATGGTAAGAGATATGAATCTAGATTCAATCTTCTACATGTGTATAGCCAGTATTCCCAGCACTATTTGTTAAAGGGGCTATCTTTCCTCCATCGTATGTGTTTGAGCCCTTTGTCAAAGATAAAAAAACTGAATGTCTGAGGAGTTGTTTCTGCATCTTCTGTTCTCTTCCATTGATCCACATGTCTGTTTTTATGCCAATACCATGCTGTTTTTTATCACTATACCTTTGTAGTATAACTTGAAATCTGGGATTGTAATGCCTCCTATTTTGTTCTTATTGCCTAAAGTTGCTTTTGCTATACTGGGTCTCTTGTTCCATATGAATTTTAGGGTTGTTTTCTCTAGTTCTGAGAGAAATGCTATTAGTATATTAATTGGTATATCAGTCAGTGCTTACTAGAAAATCAGATTTAATATAATATATATATAATATATAGTGTGTATTTATATCTTAAAATATATAAATGTATGATTTTAATATATATTTTATACATAAAATATAATATATATAATATGGCTTACAATGGCTGCCTGTAGAGTCAGGTGTGGAAGAATGGAAAAGGGCCATCTTTGTATTAAAGATCTGAAGGATTCCGTCACAAGTCAAAGGCCTGGACCTCTGTAGAGTCCCATGTGAGTCTGTATCAGGAAGCCAAAGAGTCTTTACTGGAAGCCAGGATGCAGACATCTAAGGCAACGCCAAAGACTAGAGCTCCTCTGAAGAAACAGAAGTGAGATTTCTTTCCCTTTTCATTCTATTCAGACTGCAAGCCTATTGGTTGGTGCCCCTGAGACTCTGGGTGGGTCTTACCTCTCTAGTAAGTCCATAATTCAGTTACATCCAGAACTATGCTAAGCCAATTAGCTGGGTGTTTCTTATGTAAATTGACAAAAGAATTAACTATCACAATTGAGATTCCTTAAATCTGTGTATCAGTTTTAGAAGTATGCCATTTTAACAATATTGATTCTATCTATCCAGCAACTAGGAATAACTTTCCATTTTCCATTGTCCTCTTCAATCTCCTTTTCAGAAAAGGTCTTTCACTTCCTTGGTTAGGTTAATTCCTAAATTTTTAACTTTTCTTGATGCTTTGGTGAATGGTATTGTTTTCCTAATTTCTTTCTCAGTCAGTTCATTCTTGGTGTACAGGAATGCTATTGATTTTTCTGTTTTGACACTGAATCCTACTATGCTAATGAATTTGGTTATTAATTTTAGGGGTTTTAGCTGGGTGTGGTAGCACACGCCTGTAATCCCAGCACTTAGGAGGCTGAGGCAGGAGGATCACTTCAAGTTCAAGGCCAGGCTGGGCTACAAAGTGAGCTCAAAGCCAGCCTGAACTGCATAGTGAGATCCTGTCTCAAAAAGACAAAAAAAATAACTTCAGGGGTGTTTTGGTGGAATTTATTGGGTCTTTTAAATAGATGATCATATTGTCTGTAAATAATGATTATTTGACTTCCTCTTGTCCTATACAAACTGCTTTTATTTCTTTCTCTTGCCTGATTGCTCTGACTAATGTTTTGAGTACTCTGTTGAATAGGAGTGGTGATAGTGGACATCCTTGTCTTGAGCCTGATTTTAGAGGAAAATCTTTCAGCTTTCCCCCTTTAATATGATGTTGACAGTAGGTTTGTCATAAATTGTTTTTATCAGATTGAGACATGGTGCTATACTATCTTCTTTGGTATTTTTATCATGAATGAATGTTACATTTTGTTAGTGCTTTTACTGCATCTATTGAGATGACTGTTTACTTTTTTGTCATTGCCTCTGTTTATGTAATGTATTACATTTATTGATTTGTGTATGTTGAACCATCCTTGCATCCCTGGGAAAAGTTTACTTGATCATGATGTATGATCTTTTTGATGATTCATTCCATTCTATTTGCCAGTATCTTATTGAGGATTTTTGTGTCTATATTCATTAAAGAGATTGGCCTATAGTTCTCATTTTTGGCTGGATCCTTGTCTGGCTTTAAAATCAGGGTGAGACTAGCTTCAAGGGATGGTTTTGAGAGTACTCCTTCCCTTTCAATTTCATTAAAGAATTTGAGGAGTATTGGTGTTAGATCTTCCCTAAAATTCTAATAGAATTCAGCAATGAGTCCATCTGGTCCTGGGCTTTTCTTAGTTGGTAAGTTTTTTATTACCACTTCAGTTTCATTGCCTTTTATTGGATTATTCAAGATTTTTATATCTTCTTATATATAAAATCTTCTGGATTCTTCCATTTATTGGAGTATAGGTTGTCAAAGTAGTTAATAATCTTCTGGATTTCAGTGATGTTGGTTATGATTGCACATTTTTCACTTCTAATTACTCTGATTTGGGTCTTTTTTTCTTTTTTTAAGTAAGATTTTTCTAAGGGTTTGTCTATTTTGCTCGTTCTTTCAAAGAACCAGCTCTTCAATTCATTGATTCTTTATATTTCTTATGTTGACTTCATTAATTTCTTTTACGTCCACTAGTGTTCATTTTATGAAGTTGGGTATACTGGTGTTTGGTGCACGTATGTTTATAATTGTTATCCCTTCTTACTGGATTTTTTCTCTTAACTAATATGTAGTGACTTTGCCT